GCCCTGTGAAGTATGATTGTTTTGTGTATCAAAGCTCACACTACTGCTGTGCCAGCGTATTCGTCAGTTGGTCAGCTCTGCAGCCCTGCTACCCCTTCAAGCCCAAACACGGCTCACCAAACCTAAACCCTATGATCCCCAACTATTCTCCCTCTCTGCCAAGCGGGCAGGACAGTGCAAGGTTTATAACCCCCTTTTGTCCTTCAGTGGGGCAGAACGTTGTTAAAATGATGGATGCAGCGGCAAGACAGAGTTATGTAATCACATCGGAGGGCATAAAATCTGTCCATCTCTGGAGGGATGTAGTTTGGAGGGCAATCAAAGGACCATACGTTGTGCTTAACCTCTGCCTGGCAACCGACTCGGCTGATGCACCTGGTGTATGTTATACAGGCCAAAATGTGTAGAACTGATGTTGGTTTATGGCTTTTTAGCAAAGGAAGTTATTAAGGGCTGGCCTATGCTGTAAAAAATGTTCACCTTACTTTGTCACTTTGATTTTATTTTGTGTAAAATCAGGTCAGGTTTAGTGGAGGCCCTTCAAGCTGCAGCAATATTGCTATCTGCAAAATTCACATGACCTTGTAGAAAATCAACCATATATACGGCAACTATTTAATGCTATAATATCTATATGTTTCAACTGGGGCCTAATCCAGTTGGGATCAGGCGAGAGGCAGAGTAAAACCCTGGAGAAGTTGCCATACTTTCACAAAAAACATCCAACCTTTTGATTATTGTGAATTACTGATTTCATACACGTATATATGCCAGGTGCTATTAACGAGATGGGGTGAGGAGGTAGGAAGGGGCTTGGAGTAGAGCTGCTGCTCCTCCACTGAGAGCAATCAGCTGAGGTGGCCCATCTGTAGATACCTCCCTCTGGAGATGTTCCTGGCACGTTTCCTCAGGAGGTAGACCAGAGCAAGCTGAACTGACCATATATCCTGCATGGCCTAGGAACACCTATGAAATAAAGGAAGAAAACTTTTAAAAACAATGCAAATGAGAAACACTGAATCAGATTGAAACTTGTTAGATATGTCAAACAGCTGATTCCTTCTTGTCTTGATGCAGCTTGCAACTAGGATTTGTCTGTTTTACTTTATCAAGACATACCAAAGGTTTTGAAAAAAAATTAGGCCTCCTTCACTTATGAAATCTTATATTTCCTACAGTTGAAAGTAATTTTAGATACAAAAAGGGGGAAACTAAAATCACTTCTTCTCCGTTATATAATTTCAATGAGTTAAATGCTCATCCTCTTATTCATCATCATATTTAAATGTACAGCTGAAGTTTAGTCAGCTATAATATATATCCACCTTTTATCAAGATTAAATTCACTACTAACCACTAAAGTTCGATTCACTTACTTGAGTTTAGTGGAGCTTATTTCTAATTTCAAAGATCGAGATAATAAGAGCCGACCTATAGTTGTCCTTGCCTGCTGTAATTTATCGTTTATTGTCTCTGGGAGGTAATATCCTGTTACTATGTGAGGGCTTTCACTGCTGCTGTGAATTGAGTCTCAAGGCAGCAGGATATGAGAAATGGCACCATGAAAGGAGTTGAAGAAGATAATATCAGATAAGTGGGGGAAGGAAGGGAAAGAGGGATTGGGAACCTGCTGTTTCAGGGATTTGAAGAAAAGAATTTAGTCAATGAAATATTTAAATTGCACCATTTGAACATATTTCATTCTTTCATTACTTTGTGTATTTATGCATTATGTCTTTGTTGCCTATTGTTTTCCTCTATGGTGCATACTTGTGTGTGTTCCTCTGTTTTTGGCTGATAAGTTTTTTTTTGTTCTACACTTTTTACCCTCCTGTATTCATGGAAGTAGTGATCTAATTAGATTTGATAGTTCTTTGTGCTTTGTTGGAGCCCTTTCTGCTAGAGAGCATAATGAATTCTCCTCTTCAATGGTCACATCTATGGGAGAAAAGAGGCCAGGGAGCTTGTAAAGTTAAAGATGTGATGGTAGAAGTGTTCAGATGGCGGAGGAGAGTTTCTATTTCAAGCTTAAGAAAACTAAGTTGTTGGAGAAAAAAAAGTGCAGGCATGTGTGTAGGCTTGTGCTTCTTATATAATGTGTCTGAGAGGATGTGTTCCTTTTTGTCTCAGGGGGGATTAGACATTTAAGTGCTGTTTTGGACACAAATGCGGGACCCAGACACATGCACTAACATGCTGCCATCTGGGAAAGTAACCCTTATCAAAAAGAAACTGAGAAACAGCATTTCGTTGGGGTATGCGTGTGTAACTGTGGGAGGCAAGTGGCAGTAGCCTGTGGTTTGCAGTTATTTTCTAAGTGGAAAATATAACTCCTCTGTTTGTGTGTGGGTGAGACTGAAGCATTTAGAAGCATATGTGCACAAAAACAACAATTTTCAGAAAGTGATAATCTATTCGTTTTTGTCATGCACGTCCCAAACTTTCTGCTTCCTTGTGATGTAATTATAGGTTTGCCTTTTGATTCCAGCTTTGACGTGCCCCCTACCTCCCTTCTCGCTGGAGATTTTTCCACCTGCCCAGCTAAGGTGATCTTAAGTTAATTAGTTTTCCCTTCTCTCCCCCTGTGGCACATGGCAAGGTATTTGGCTCACTTAGCACAGGTTCTGAGACCTCCAAGGAGTTAATGCTTCACTTGATAATTGCACTGCGGTTTCTGCAGGTATGCTCTTCTGGTTAAGATCAAATCTCCGGAGCCTCTGGGTCAGTGGTCCCACATGCTTTAAAAGCTGTGGGAAATGATCTCTAAAGGTAGTGGAACGATCCCTGTGCTCCCAGATCAGGTGAATGATGATTCAGAGCTGATAAAACAACTCTCCAGACGTTTGAATGAAACTGTCATGTGGAACATTGGGTCACTGAAGTAGCAGTCTTAATTATACCAGTTGACTGTGATCCAGAAAACCTTTGACTGTCTAAATCTGTTGGAAAAGTCTATTACAGATGCAGCAACCAGATATTCAATGACTATTTTTAGTGTGTGAAATTTTGTTGTTTATTTATGGATAGACTGATATGAAATTTCTATTTTAAGAAGTTGAGAAAAGCTTACATTTGCAATAGAAGTAAAGAAAATACAAATCCATGGCATTCTGGTTGATGAGAAATCCATCTTTTATCATTAATCATCTCTGCTGCAGATTATAGGATTGAAGGACAAGTAAAACACAAATTAAAATATAGGATAAAGTAGGGAAATAAATCAGATTAATCTTAATTAATCGATCATTGAAACAATAGTCAACTAATATATTAATCGATTAATGGTTAACTGGAGTATAGAGACTAAAACGTGCCTTAAGCTGACAGTGTGACCCATTTAGGACAGTAATTATATCAAAATTGCAAAAAAAAATTATAAACATTTTGCATTTAAGATAAAAATCTTGGTCTGCCAATCTGCTCTATCCAACTATCCTCAAGTAGAAAAGTTTTAGTTTCACCTGGTTAAATTTTGCAAAAAAGTCTACTATAAGGAACCTTTTGTTATCCGATTATTAATCGAAAAAATAATTGACAGATTAATCGATTCTCAAAATAATTGTTAGTTGCAGCCCTAAAATAAAGCAACTCAGTTGATATCCCAAGCAGATTTTTACATTGTCTTTACTCTTTTCCAAATGTTTACCTGACAATATACTAGAGGAAAAGGTTAGAGTAACAGTCTGACATATTAAACCACTCATTCATTAATTGTAATCATAAAATAACCCTTAGCAGCTTTTTTGCTGTTGATCATTGGTTACAGATATTATGACCAGAGATGACATAACTCTGTATACATGAGGCTCTGTGGGTGTGTGATGGAGATTTACACAGTTTTCATGTAAAATGGAATTAGACGATTGTTTTAAAACATACAATGTGATTATGAGGAGCTGGACAGTGGACAGTGGGTAGCACTGCTGCCTTTCACCAAGAAGGTTCCGGGTTCGATTATTCGATTCTTTCTACATGGAGTTTGCATGCTCTCCCTGAGCATACGTGGGTTCTCTCCGGGTACTCTGGCTTTCTCCCAAAGTCCAAAAACATGACGGTTTGGTTAATTGGCTTCCCTAAATTCTCCTTGCGAGTGTGTGCGTAAATGGTTGTTTGTCCTGTTTGTCTCTGTGTTGCCCTGCGATGGACTGGCGACCTGTCCACTGTGCCTATCTCCCGTAGACAGCTGGAGGAAGGCACCAGCGACCCCCTTGGGATACCTATGACGAAAAATGGATGGATGATTATAAGAATTGAAGAGAATTCAAAATACTCATAAAAACAGTGATAAAAATAACTAGTTGAGTCAGCATAATGAACATCCTTAAATACTGTATGCATTAACTTCCAATTACAAGGCACTTCCTTTAGCTGAATTTGCAAAATATGACAAAAATCTGGGCTCTTTGACTTGATAAAGCAAAGCAACCCACTATGATATGCTAAAGTTCCCTTTGGTTTTAGCTATGCCTCACTGGAAATAAAACAATCTAGAAATAAGTAAAATAAATTTTTATTAAGTGTATTTACCCTTAATTTGAGTAGGTAAATGAGAGAGTTTGCCAATTGAAGGAGCATTTTTACTCTTAAAATAAGATAATTAGATAATATGTACTTGAAATAAGACAATGCAATTGTGTTATCTTATTTTAAGTGTAAATTGTCTCTTTCCATTGGCAAGAGGTCTCTTTTACCTCCTCAGTCCAAGAAAATATGCACTTATTCTAAGGAAAAATTACTTATTTAGATTTCAATTTTTCCATTGCTCTCTTTCAGACTAGCTGTATTACCCAACAAAGACATAACTGAAAATACAATGTTCCTCTAAAAGCTTTAATAAAGCAGAAAATGAACTCACTGACTCTAAAATTTAGGGACTTTGAGTATTTTTAACCCTGTAGCTGCCACATTGGAGAGTGTACTGTTAGCATAACCAGGTGACAGTTATAAATGAAATTGATATGTCATATCTTAATTGTTATGTCTATATGTGTCTCTTTTAGCCATCATGTATGTTATGGGAGCACTGGGTCCTGCTGCAGGCTACTTGCTGGGAGGCGTCCTTATTGGCTTCTATGTTGACCCGAAAACTGTGGTGAACATTGACCAGAATGACCCTCGCTTCGTTGGCAATTGGTAAACATGCACTTACACTCGAAAGCTGCCACTCTGGATTTAAACACACTGCAATGAAAAACTGTTCACCTTTTGTATCCCATCTTATTTCCTTTAAGGTGGAGCGGCTTCCTCCTCTGTTCCATAGCCATGCTTCTTGTCATTTTCCCCATGTTCGCCTTCCCCAAAAAGCTGCCTCCACGCCACAAGAAGAGAAAAAAGAAGAAAATGATGAACTCGCCAGGTGATGCGTCCAGTGATGATGATGTGATGAAGGAAAAGTCAAGTAGCAAAAGCCAAAATGTGTCCTCCTCTATGGGATTTGGAAAAGACATCAAAGGTGAGGAAACTCTGAAGTTCTGGAATGTTAGTAGGATCTTACTTATAGTAGAGATGTAGATACACACAGGTTCTTAGACAATTTCAGGCTGTACACATATCACTGTCCTGTCTATCATCTGAAAATGGTTTATGCGCAAACCTACCAAGACATATTTTAAAGGTGTGAGCAAGTAGAACAATCAGAAAAGCTCCTAAGAACCCTGGAGGAGCTGCAGGAATTCTCACTTCAGGTGGGAAAATCTATGAACAATTATCATTCCCACATCCAGCTAATTTAGTTTTATTAAAGATGCTGCCTTGATGTCAAATGTAAATCTTTTTGCTCTCACATAAAATTCTCTTTAAGGTAGACAACTACCCCAACATACAGTCCCACAGTGAAGCATTTTGGTGGCAGCATGAATAGACTTGCAGGAAAAGGTTTATGTTCTTCACCAAACAACACAATGACCCTAAACATAGTTAGATCAAGGCATTCATTTGATAAAATGGTTTAATCAGCTTTAAGGCTGATTAAAATTAGGAATATGTGGCAAGGTTGAAAAAATAATGTTTATCCAAACTGAAAACGGAAATGTCAGAAAGCACGTGTAAAGCTGGTAGCAGGAGACACCAAAGAACTGCAGCTGAAATTACAGTTAAATGAATTGGGCCCAGAGAGACAAATAATAAAACAATCAGGGTCTTTCAGACTTTTTGTCTGCAACCAATATATAAAACCATGCATCCTTTTAGTTCCACTTCTCAATAAAACATTGAATTTTTGGTCTATCACTTAGAATCCTATCAAATTACATTAAAAATCTGTAGCTGAAGCATGAACTGTTAAAAAGTTCAGGACTCCTGACTTGGTGCCATAAATGAACTGTTAGGTGTTGATGAACAAACAGGCTATAATCCAATCAATGTTGGGGCTTAGACATCTTATCCAATAATGGAAGCTTTATTGAGATCTCTCGTAAAGATTGTATTGATCGACAATAGAGGACTGTGTAAACGGGATGTGTCAGAATGCAGTGGTGGTAAACACTTGGTTTTCTTGAAAATGTTTCTTTTAATGTCCCCATCTAGCCAGGAAACACCCGGTTTTCCCCAGATAAGCTCCGTCCTGCTCAAGTGTTTCCCAGATTCCTTTCTCATTTTTTGCTCTTGTTCGGTTTCTCTTTTAAATGAGCTCCCATAGGACTTACACTCAGCAGTACATAGGCTCTGATGGAGCTCAGCGCTCGTGTTTGCCATCACTCGCAGCAATTCTTTGCAAACTCAAACATGTACTTAGTATAGCTCCTTACTCTCAAATTAATGCTTATGTGCACAGCTGGGGCAGTCAAAACAGCGCTTTGTCTTGGTGCTGCACCCAGCGTAGGCCGGGGACGAGTCACAGCTCCACCACGCCGCCTTTCACTCAGTTGTGGATTCATTTGCCTCAGCAGGATGTTTGGCAATGCTGTGCAAACTGCGATCAGTTTCGCACACTCCGGCAGATCCCAAATGTATTTTAGTACAGTACGTGTCCTTCTGTAGAGGTGTGCTTGATTGTTTGTTGCACAAATTCAGCATTTTCTGAGAAATATATGCCCCCCCACCCTCCTTTTCTTCGCCCTTCACAAGCAAACACTGAAAATATGCTAACACCAAATGTTTTCTATAATGCACATGAGAGGGACAAATTCTTGATGGTGGAATTTTCCAGCCCTTGATCTGCTGCTATGTGAAAGCAATTTTCCCTTGAAAGGTTTGCGATGCATGGCAGAAATGACTGCTGACACAGTGCATCATATCCAGGTTTCACTAAGTGATTAATTACCTCACGGCTTCGTTCAGAAATGCAACGCCACTCTTTCAGCTGCTACATTAGCCCGCTAGATATAGTTGTAGTCGTTTTTATAAGAAGAGCTGGACTCTCAGAGTTTCTGTTCAGTCTAGAAAAGTCTAGAGTTTGACTTTTTTCAGTTCTGGATGAGTATGGAAAAATAAAAGTCCAGCAAATTTTAATATTTCCAGAGTTTAAGACCTAAAGGCTGTGTATCACTCTTCTCATCCATCCCTCTCTCAACATTCCTTCCTTCCTCCCTCTTTGTTCTTCCCTGTTGCCTACAACCTTCTCTGTTTAATTCCTGTATCTGTGCTTTATTCTTTTCTTTGTATGTATTTCTATACTTTGTTGTCCATTTTTGTCTGGTTTCTGTTCTTTGCATTTTCCTTTCTTCTGTCCTTTTTCTTTCTTTAAGCTTTTTTTTCTTCATTTAATCCCTTATTTGTCAAAATGTTTTAAATTTGTTCATTTTCTCTCATCTATCCTGCAGCACTTTCCTTTCTTTCTTTTTTCTTTGTTTCCTTGCTTTCTCACTCATCCTTCATTTCTTGCACCCTTCATTCTCTCTTTCTCTGACATTTCATACTTTTCCGTTAAATCCATCCGGGTTTATCAGACATAAGAAAAAACAGGTTAAAATTCAGTGTTAAATCCCTGTTTCATTAATTACAGCATCAACACAATAAGGTGTGTATGAATAAAGGATTTATATTATGTGCTGTTTTTGAACTAACATCTCTACTTAATTTAAATGCAGTTTTCCCTCAGCACATTTTACATAACCAGATCATTCTGTCTTTACCAAACGTTATATTTTTATTGATGACATATTCCCCCTTTGAGTTAGGATAGTGGAGCGTTTTCTTCGCAGGATAAAATTCACGAAGCTTTCACAAACGTAAGGATGTTTCCCAACAAATACGGGTGTAGATCCAGGATTGTTTACTTCTTTTTGCTGTGTTTTTGCAGAGATGTGTCGTATTGAGCTGCTATTTGTCAAATGTAATTTAAACAGGCAAATACTTTTGTTGGAGCACTTTGCAAAACTTTTCAGGAAGATAGATATGCCAGTAGGTTTACAGTTATTCCAGACTCGTTATTCCCGTTTCCATATTCAGATGATTGTTTTAATGATGCTCTGAGATAATTAGAAGGTTTTATTGTAGAACCCAGCTCTGCTTTACATTTCTCTACAACTTACTGCCTGATCTGATTACCTGGTGTATATATACAATTGTTTACATACCATTCCATTAAAGACAGAGAAGAATCAGCTTCCAGTAAAATAAATTGAAATTGACAAAAGTAATAATAAATAAATAAAAAATGAAAAATGTAAATCATGGCATTGATTTTGGATATGTGTATGTATATATATATATATATATGTATATATATATATATATATGTATATGTATATATATATGTATATATATATGTATATATATGTATATATATGTATATGTATATATATATATATATGTATATGTATATATATATGTATATATATATATATGTGTATATATGTGTGTATATGTGTATATATATGTATATATACATATACATATATATATATACACATACATATATACATATATATGTATATGCATATACATACACACATTTATATGTGTGTGTGTATATATATATATATATATATATATATATATATATATATATATATATGTATGTGTGTGTATATGTATATATACTGTTTATATTTGCGTCTATGTATATGTGTATATGTGTTGATTGATTATGACAAACATATATATATATGTTTGTCATAATCAATCTGTTGTTCATAAGTTATAGAGTATAACTTATGTTGTGCATCGATTATGTTTTCTGTTGCTTCTATGCCTGTTTAAATCAGAGGAGAGATGACTCAACACCATGTGTAGGTGTCCCCTGCATGATGCTGATAAAGGTAGATTAGGTCATTCACATAAAAAACTATGTGACATTTTCCTTTGACTTTAAAATAACTGTATTGCTTAGCCACATGGATTTCCAATATTACTTATACTGACAAGTTAAGAAGTTAGGATTATGAATACTCTTGGATAGCTATCTTTCTTTTCTTTAAGTTTAAAGAAATATCTGAAGACAACTTCTAGCACCCAAACAGATGAAAAGGGAGAACCCATTTTTTCCCTTTATACACTGGAATGAATCAATGTGTTCTACTCCTGTTTATCCTTCGTTAGTCATCCATGAAACCAATTCTGATCCAAACTAATGAGACATGGCTGAATGCATTTTCTGAATAAAGGAAAAAATACACACGTTTTTTTTTTTTTTAAAGACCATTGTTTTGATTATGTAAGTTCTGTCAATGTTACAGAGGTAAAAAAAAAATTTTCCAACTCCTTGTCCTGTTTTTAATGGTTTTAAGGAGAGGATAAGGAAAACTCACTGACTCTGCTTAATTAGTGTCTAAAGCTAACAAGGTACTTTTTCTTCTCTTGCGTTTCACCTCCAGACCTTCCCAAAGCTGCTCTGAGAATCCTCAGCAACATGACCTTTCTGTTCGTCAGCTTGTCCTACACAGCAGAGTGTGCCATCGTCACGGCCTTTATTACCTTCATCCCCAAATTTATCGAGTCGCAGTTTGGCATTCCCGCCTCCAGTGCCAGCATCTACACAGGTATTTCAAAATGTCTTCTGTTTATTTTGTTCCTTTTTTACAGTGAAACATCATAGAGTCGACCTTTTGCTCTGCCTTCAGTTTTCACATAGCATGTGGGGTGGAGTATGGAAACATAAAAATTGGTCTAATCCCTCAGCTGAGCTGGCGTTGCGAATACACAAATAATCTGCATGCTGGATTATTACAGTAAGCACTGATTGGAAACTTAATTATGGCTTTGAAGCAAAAAAAAGCCAGTGGTTCTATGTTTGTGTGGGTCCAGGCATTCTGGTTGACTTAAGGCAGCTTTAACACAGACAGAGAGCTACACACAATACGTCTGCTTCAATTCATCTGACTGTTGCCAGGATACATAGGGTAAGGGTAACTGGGTGTAGAGGTTGCTATGACTACCCAAACGCTGCCAAGCTGCTGGGATGCTATGATAGTTGGAGATAAGAAGACGGAAGAGGCCATTCTGTTAATGGTAGAGTTGGACATCCGCTGAAACCCAGGTGTTAAGATGCTGAGATGATGGGAACCAGCATTTATTGCCGTCCATATTTGCTTTTAATTCAATTCAGTCAAATCTGAATTAAAGGCTTATAATGATGGTGCACTGTATAATCCAGATTTAACGTTTTCCAGAACTGAAAACCAAAAAATAGCAAAACACTTACTGAAGCTTTAAGGAGTTCTCTGTTAATATGTGGATGTCTTTTATAGTTAGTATCTGATGTTTTGATAAGGATTTTGTTATAGTCAGGGCTCCAAATAGTTATTGATCATTGAAGAATGGGGACCTGAAGGGGTAACGATGGAAATATTCAAATTCAAACTACAAATGCTTAGTTATTTAAACATCAAAACAAAAGAATCAAATTTGGATTATTTAAATTAAACTAGTAATTTAAACCATTAGGAACCTCTATCAAAAGAAAAACAATCTTCTATACACTGCAAAATGATCTAGAAATAAGTGTAAATGTCTTAAATTAATTGAATTTACTCTTAATTTAAAGCAGGAAAATAAGATCGTTTTTTCAACGGAATGAGTATTTTTACTCTTAAGTTTATTAGATAATATGCACTTGTAATAAGATAAGGCCGTTCTTTTTCTTATTTTAAGTGGAAATTGTCTCGTTTCATTGGCAAAATGTCTCACTTACCCCCTCAATTCAAGAAAAAAATTGACTTATTTTAAGAAAAAATGACAGTGATATAAAAAGAAAAAATCTACTGAGAAGAACAACAAACATGTCCCCACTGGCATCACAGGTTTGTTTCCGGCAGAGGAATCCAACTAGCAAGAAATCGACACCAAATATGCAACCTTTACTCTGTCTTTAAAGTCATTATTAACCCAGGTGAACATAGAAGTATAACTTATAGAAAGCTGTGGTTACTGCTACATCTGACAAACACAGAGGTGAATGCAGTATGATGTATGATGTGGGACTTCCTTACTGCTTCAGAACCTGTAATTCTCACAGCTCTTTAGCCACAAAAACAATTATTGATCTGTCACATTCAAAACATGCTCTCCGTGGCTGGAAAGCCCAACTGCTGATCTTTTCTGATAGTTTAGCTGACTTTGCAATGTTTTTTTTTTTTTTTTTGTACTCTTTGTGTGTGGTCATGAGGTTGAGAATATTTGCAATGCAAACACTATCACATATTTATAAGATCAGTTGAAACAAACAAACAAAACAAAAATAAACAGTTCTGTTACATTAATGTCAGCAAATCTTTTAATCCAGATAAAATGGCTAAGACCCTGATGCAGTATGTTATGCTACATAGGACAGCTTGTGGGTGTGTGTATGGGCTTTGCAGTACATATTACTGTAAATATGTGAGCTTACAGTGTGAATGTGTATTCCTGCAGAAAGCAGATGGTTTTAGCACAGAAACATGCACTTTACAGGATGATAACTCACCCCAATCCATTGACTGGCTGTCACTGAGCATGCTCCTTCTTTGTCTCCTCTCCTCACACACCGACTAAAGGGAGCAGCCAGATGACATTTCTTTGTACCCTTAAAACGTCTCTGCTGATATTTTGTCTGAAAGGACCTCTTACTCTGACCGACCCAGTTTTCGTGTCCTCTGTGAGAAAGCCTGTGGCCTCACTTGAAGGCTGGAATTCCTGCATGATGGCATTTAATGCTCCCTGCATCTTCCTAGTAGTGTTGCTTTTCTCTTGCTGTCGCTTTGCCTGGCTTTAGTTGCCTTAAAGCGCATGTCACAGCCTAAAATAGCTCACTGACATCCTACAGTTTTCCAGTAACACTGGTTCTGTTCACTCATTCATAGTTTAACAGGGGGTTACATTTCTATTTCAAGCAAACATTTTGCCACAGCACTGTTTTATGTCAAAGACTCACATGGTAAAATACTGCTGGTATTAAGCTCAAAGCTTCACAGTCATTATCTCAATCGTAATATTTCCTGCAACCTTTTCCACCATCTCATGGCTTGCATCCACTCTCTGATGTCTGGCAGGTTTAATTATCGTGCCTAGCGCCGGCGTGGGCATCGTCCTGGGAGGTTACATCATCAAGAAGCTGAAGCTGGGCGCGAGGGAGTCGGCAAAGCTGGCCATGATCTGCAGCGGAGTGTCCCTGCTCTGCTTCTCAACGCTGTTCATCGTGGGCTGTGAGAGCATCAATTTAGGAGGCATTAACATCCCCTACACCAATGGGTGAGGAAACACTCAGCATCCCTAATACTGGTCTGTGCCCTGCAGAACAGATATGCACCCCTTGAAATTTGTGCAGTTTGTGTTTTTAATCACACAATCTTCTTTTCGTCCTTCTGTAAAAGAAAAATCAGTCATATATTGGTAATAAAATTTGATATTTTATTTTTAAAATTAAGGTAAAGAAGTGATATTTGGAAAAACATCCCAACATATTGTGGTAAATTACATGATTAAACTTCAAACGCATAAGGTGCACAAATTCAGGGATAGCTCCAGGTTCTGTGTGAAATAAACAGTGTGAATCATGTCATCAATGTGATGCATATGAGGATGAATCAGTGGAAGGTGTGGGCTCGTGATGCCGCCGCCGTACCATCATCCTCATGTGTTATGGCATTGTGTTTGCAGTGTTAATGAATAATTAGAAACACTTGCATCTGCTCTCGTGTCTCGATGAATCACTTTGTCACCTCTATTTCTGAACGCGCTGTTGGCGGCAGAACTAACGGCAGCTATGCAGTGTGTCAGCCCCGGAGCAGAGAAACATGGAGGCACTTTTCCCTTTCTGACCTTGAATCTGAAAAAATACATGGAGAAATTAATACATGGAGATTTTTTTTTTTTTGAATCATCACCCATCACTTTTAGTCTCCACTATGATATTATCCCAAATGTTGGAAGGAGGCAAAAAGCTTCAAGGCTTTCATTCCAGCATTACCAGATCAAAAACAAAGAAAATTCCAATTTTTTTTTTTTTTATGAACAATTTCATGTGAAAGTTATTCTAACACTTCTCAGTAATAACCAAAAAAAAAACATTTGATTACCTTAAAGACAGTCAAAGCCCAGATTTCTGGATGTCTGTTGGTAATGAGCTCTAACACTTTAGGTTGGTGGCCCTCATTGCCAATCTGTGGCTCCCTTTAAATATTCCCAAAACACATTATAGTCAGGACTCTGGCTAGATCACACTAATTGATTAATATGACTTCCAGCTGAAGAAATACAACAATATAAAAAAGATTATATGCGACTTAATTTAGCCAGATTCATACATAATTCTTTACTATACTATTCCATAGTTTGTAGAATATTAACTGGATTTTAACAAATTTCCATAAATCACAATTTCTTAGTTTGGCATAAAGCTTTACACAAATTAACAGAATTTTATAACACTTGTAAATCACTTCTGCCTGTTATTAAAAATTCTTATTAACTAAAAAGCAACTGTGAATCCATTCAAAGGGTGTATTTTTTGTGGGTCGGTTTGCTCAAAGCTGTCAGCGTCCCTTATTATTAGCAGCACTGGTCAGTAGTCGTGAGTAAAACAGATGGAAGGGATATTTCAGCAAATGTCCCCTTTGTTTCTGAGCTGGAGTTCAGACATGGCTCTGCTTCGCTTACAGGCTGATGAAAAATGGCAGAGCCAGAAGGCATGTAGGGTTACATAACGTCCTTAAACAGTTGTTTTCATGCAGTGTGCAATGTCCACAGCAGCAGGATAGGGTTATGTGTTAATAGTCCTATGAAAAGCTGTAAAGGACTATAGGTATGTTTATTAGACCTTTGCTGCTGGAAGACGAGTTCCATTCTTTCTTCGCTGCCTGTGGTAGTTCAGAAAGATGGAGAGCTGCTCTCCTGACTCCCTCTTACCTCTGCATTATTTAGCAGTTTTTACTTTGTGGATTTTTGGATTGGTACCTAGATCCCTTTTATAATGTATGTTATTGTTTTTAATTAGCTGCATCACATTTTAATGAATCTACTAAGTTATGTCTATGCTGGTTTCCTGTGTTTGAATCATTTTCAGTTTTTACTAACTTTAGCTGTCTAAATTTATTTTTTTAACTTCAAGTTTTACTTTTTTCCATAATCTTTAGTTATTTTGTATCATGTCTTTCATTTTATTTATTGTTTTTACTACTTCAGTTATTTTAAGTTTTAGGTATTTATACACTACAAAAAATAAGTGAAAATGTCTTTAAGTGAATTTACTCTTAATGTAAAGCAGGAAAATAAGATTGTATGCCAATAGAATGAGTATTTTTATTCTTAGAATAAGTTAAGTAGATAATATGCACTTGAAATAAGACAATGCAGTTCTTTTTTTTCTTATTTTAAGTGGAAATTATCTTGTTTCATTAGCAAAATGAAAAATTACTTATTTTAAGAAAAAAATTACTTAATTAGATTTACATTATTTTGCAGCGTGTGCTAGATGCTTCATACTTGAGCATTTAGAACAAAATATGTTTTCTATAGTTGGATGTATTTTCTTGTTACTTTAGACTTTTTCTTTTTTTGTTACTCCAAATCTTACTTTTTAAAAATAAATCTATTTTTGTTCTAGGTATTTATTATGTAGATGATTCTTACTTGAACTGTTTAAAATATTTTGTCGGTTCTGATTTGTAGTGTAACAAATATTTTTTCTTTTTTTATGTTATTTTTACGTGAATAACTCGGTTTTGTTTTTTCAATGTCCACAGTGTTAACTCACATATTTTCTGTTTTACTTCCAGGTCTATGTATTTAAATTTCTAATTATTTAATTTTTTTAAATCCTTTTTCACTTTATTGCTGCTCTGTTTTGTTAATTATGTAGTTTGGACATTTTTTAGTTGTTTTAACGTATTACTCGCTTAATTCATTTCTTAGTGCTTATTTTTGTAATTTTAGCAGTTGCTTCTTGAATCAGCGACTTTTCAATGTTTTTTATCACCTCAAAACTGTAACAAATGTTTTTAGCTCTTTTCAGAGAATAATTCAGATTACTTAGCAACCTGATATCAAGGCTGTTCTCTGCATAACTATTTCCTTTAACATTTCTGTACTTAAATCAGATGTTAGATTTCTGCTTTTTTTTGCATTTCTTATCAGAATTTAAGAGGCAATATACTTATTTCAGATGCAACAAAGAGTAAAATGTTCTTATTCAAGTGGATTTCTTCTTTTGTCTAAAAATATTACTTGTAATGACCAAAAATATTAAATAATAAAAATAATAAAAACATTTAATTTAGCAGAATATGAGGCGTTAGAAACATCATTTTAATATAATAGGTTTAGAAGTTTTCCTTTTTGTTCTCATCAGCTATTGTGTTGTTAAGATCTGTCCTGGCCTGTTCCGCATTGCCCAGCATGAAGCTTACCAAAGAAAACCCGGGCTTCGCTTCGCTGCGTCTGGTTTGGACTAAGCCAACGTCCTGTTTCAGTTAAAGGATCTGTTCCCACAGTGTCCTCAGAGCTAGACAGCATATTTCACCTTGTTGATCCCTCTGCTCTGCTTTTCAAAAAGGAGCTGGAAAAGAGAGAACTTAGCGTATGACACAGTCTAACGGATTAAACAGCTTTTCAGCTGTAATATGTTTAGGTTTTCTGCTTCTCTCTTGATGTTTCACACCTTGAATGAATGTCCAGATATGCAAAAAAACAAAAACATAAAAAAATAACACAGTTAACAGTTATTTTAAATGGCTTCTTATATCAATGTGCTTTAAAAAATACACTGACATAAAAAAAACTCTTTTTTACTGACAAAGTATGATCTAAATTTACACTACACTTTCATAGTTCTGTGGTGCAATTATCATACCAACCATTTAAAGCACTGATTACTAATTAATAACCAAAATATGCAGGTAGAAAGGCCACTTGACCAAGGGCACAGGGACTTGTGGAAGGGATTAGAAGAAGGGATTAGAAGCTGAAATCAAACTGTTTTTTCCCACTTTGTAGCAGCATCAATGCTGAAGCCTATGGTAGGGCTTTGCGTGGGGCATTCACTGTTCACAACGTTATCCGTTTTTTTGAGATGTAGATAAAATCTCTCCTGAATAACTGAAGATTTATACCTGAAAATGGAATTTCCTGTTAAACAGAAAGATTTAAAAAATAAATCATCCTTTTTGCTAAAATCCAAAATATAAATACAAACCAGCCAGGATTGATGTCTACCCCACTAATGTTTTTCATACCATCAGTACCATAAACGATCTCTGCTTCCGATCCTGTGAGTATAAGTTGTTCTCTCCGTTTGTCTCTGCAGTCCTACGCTGACCATGACCCACTGGAACCTGACAGGCAGTTGCAATGTAAACTGTGGCTGCAAAATCCATGAGTACGCACCGGTCTGTGGCTCCGACGGCATCACCTATTTCAACCCCTGCCTGGCCGGATGCAGCACCGTCGGCAATGACAGCACTGGGGTGAGGGCCTACACATTTTTACATCTCATACCAATAAAAAGGGATGCTTTCTTGAGAGTGAGAACCAAAACATCCTATTGTCTGACCACAGATCAGGAACTACACAGACTGCGGCTGCGTTCAGAGCCGGCAGGTCATCACTCCGTCGAATGGTGGGCAGGTCAACCAGCTCCAGCTGGTGATCGTCAAAACGTACCTGAACGAAAACGGCTACGCACTTTCCGGGAAGTGTGATCGGACCTGTAACACACTCATCCCCTTCCTCATCTTTCTCTTTATTGTCACACTCATTACCGCGTGTGCCCAACCCTCAGCCATCATAGTGACGCTCAGGTGAGATGCCGTCTCTGGCGGCGGTTCTTTGATCATCTGGGATACAACTTCCTGTCTTTATACCCTGTCGATCTTTCCTGCAGGTCTGTTGATGAACAGGAGAGGCCTTTTGCTCTCGGGATGCAGTTTGTTTTGCTCCGAACTCTTGGTATGTAACCAACACCTCTGTTATTTCCCACCTCACACTAATAGCACATTTTAGGGAAAAAAATGTTTTCCTACTAATTAGATCGAAATGGCCCTCAGAGCTGCTTTAGGTGGTTATAAAAACATTTTTTTTAACACATTTTTGCTCCGACTACCATTCTGCAATGTTAGAGAGCAGGAATGCAGCTTTCAACTGAATGTCTCTTAACTTGTGTTGGTAGATGTATAAAAGCCCTCTGGGGGTAGGAGTTATGTTGCAGCATGTCTCTGATCAGCTTTGTATAACCATGTGAACATAAAAGCTGCCACGTCTTGTCATAAACCTGTTTTCATGTCATAAACCTCTGCACGTTATGAGCACAGATAGGGGGGAACAGCCTTACAAGACATTTTAGATGAACTAATGCAATTAACAGGAAGTATTCTGGCAATAAGAATCTAGTTTACCTTATTTTTTTTCTGAACCATCAGATTTAATCCTATTTCATTGCAGCAATATTATTACAAATTATAATATATACAGATATCTGAGTACACTTTGTCAGAGAAAAAAAAATCTGCCTAAATGTAAATAGCATTTTATAAGGTCAGAACATACAAAGGGAAGAATCTTTGACCTTTCCTCTTTGCTCACTATTTGTTGAAAATTCAGTCCTCTCTCTTCTCTTCAGCTCATCCACAGGATTTGGGTCTAAAGGCCTAGATGGCAATTGTTTAAATTTAAGCTTGTGCCCAATGGACCTCACCTTTATCTATTTGGACCTAAACCCGGGATCTTTTTTTAACTGAAAGACCTACTTTATTTTAATTTAATCTCCTGGTATTCTTAAGACTTCCTGAAGAAATACTTTCCAACAATTCTTTCCAAACCCACAGCATGACAGTACTTTGCTGTACTTTTTCACAAAGAGTTGGTTTTCCAAATATTCATCCCACCTGGGATCTATTTAATAAACCATATCATAGGATCCATACTAGAGCTGCATGTATGCTCTAAAACAAAACATAGTGTACATTAAAAAAAAGCTTGCATACACACACATGCGCATACTCGTTCTGCCATCGTAGTGAGGACCATGTGTTGACTCCCATTGATTTTCAGTAATTTTCCACCCTTTCTATGCCATAATCCTAAAACTAACCCTAAACCTAACCATTACTAATGCATACCTCACCCTAACCAATTGACACCTTAGCCCTAAACCTAACCATTAGCAAAATAGCATGTGAGGACCGGTAAAATGTCCTCACTTTGCAAAAACTGGTCCTCAATTTAATGGTGAAATTGGAAAAATGGTCCTCACTCTGATGGCTAGACAGGTACACACACACCAGCAAGCAGTTTCCTTTCATAAGTCACAGGTGAATTTCATTATTTGTGTCTAAGGTTCCTCCTGATATTCTGCTCTCAACACTTCTACATTCAATCATAAATGATAAATGCAAAGGACCTAACGAATGTTAATATGTTTAATCAGCTTTAATCAGGTGATCATTGTTTGTTGGTGAGAAAACATGTAAAAATTGTGCAGACTTTGGCTTATAGGCTTATTATCCATGTACATGGTTCTTGTGTATACTTACTGCTAAAGTTCTCCGAGAGTAAGCCTAGACCAGAGGTCAAAAGAGACTCTGCAACATGTAAAGACACCATTACTTAAAAGACGTTCATCTTAACTCCGAGCTAAAATCTAACTTAAATTATTAAAATATAAATCAATTAGATTCCTGTAAAATTTATAAAAAATATTTCCTTAACTAAAAAAGTAAATGTACCCTTATTCAAAGTTACATCATTTTTACTTAAATATACTGAGGTGATCAAAGATACATTTAAGGCTTTATATCATTAGAAAGGACTGTCAGGGTGTGACTTCAGGTAAGCTAAATGGTGCCACCTTGTGGTTGAAATAATACTGCATGAGTAAATTTGGTAACTTTAATAAAAGGCTGCACGATATTAGCATATACAATTGTAATGGAATTACTTTAAATTGTTATGGTTGTTTGCTTTTTCAACAAAAAGAAATCTGAGTTTTAGCATTTAAGCTTTCGACTTGTCTGCATAAAATACATTTTGAGTTAAGTTTACGAAACAGTGATGAATGGCCACAGAGATGTTAAGCTGATGGAATATAATCTCGCAGATGCATTTTGGCAAAAATGCATCTTTATGTAAGAAAGAAAAGGTTTATTTGACTACTTTTAAGTAAATTTTTTTCAGGTTTCAGTTATTAATCCATGATTCTCCTTCCTCAGCCTATATACCCACGCCCATCTACTTCGGCGCCGTGATCGACACCACCTGCATGCTGTGGCAGCAGGACTGTGGCGTGCATGGCTCCTGCTGGGAGTACGACGTCACCTCATTTCGTTTCGTCTACTTCGGCCTGGCCGCCAGCCTGAAGTTTGTCGGCTTCATCTTCATCTTTCTCACCTGGTACTCGATCAAGCACAAAGAGGCGCAGGCCGAGCGCTGGCGCCAGCACCTGCCTCCTCTGGGTACAGTCAGTGAGCTCGTCTGTCACGCTGGCGGCCGGAAGAGCCATGCCCGTACCCGCTCCTGCCCCGTGTTCATCCCGCCCCGGCCTGACATGCCGGCGGCGATGCTGCTCGACCGTGGCCACAGCAGCCTAAGCTGCCCTGGTAACGGCCTCAAAACAATACCTCCTGCTCTCTTACTACCACGCCACCACAGAGGCTCGGCCCATGTCTGAGAAAGGGGGGGTACGTTGCGACGTGTGCCTTCCTGTTTGTGTCTCAACACGGCGTCTACTTTACAAAGCACCGACAAGTGTACCCACCGTACCTAAAGGGCTGGTCATAGATTCATGATAACCTCAGCATATCATCATCTGCAGCCACAACGGATGGACGATGTAAGAACATTAAACTGGTGCTACAGACAAAACAATGTCTGTATAGGCACAAGAGTCATCAACACAAAAAGCACAACACACTGTACTATGCAAAAAGCAGCATCCTGTTCCTTTCCTCTCAATCCTACTTTACAAAAACCTTCATTTTACTACCAGAGCTGTTTCCTCTGTCTTGTCTAAGGGGGATTACACATCTACAGTTATATTGGAATTAGGATTTGTATTTCTGTTCACAATTCTTTATTTTTTGTTAGTTATTTCCCGTAACAGTGCCTCTAAGGCTGTTTAAGCCAGTCCAGGTCACATGTCTGGCTGTCAGGGTCAATGTTGGCCGCAGAAAAAAAATTTAATATTGTCTTTGCCAACTAAACCATGTTTGTCACTAAATTATATAATCTCAGCAGAAAACTAAAGGAACAAAAAAACATCTAAAAACGTGCTGAAGCTACTGAAAATCCTAAAGATGTGAAGATGGGTTAAAAAAAAAATAATAAAAAATTGGCATTACTTTTTTGGCTTTGTACTTATACTCATCCATTCCAGCAGTCATCAGATGTACAGATTTAGCTGTGTAGACTTTTACAGATGTAATGCAGAAGAGCATGGCTAAAAATCCAGATAGGGAAAAGGAGTCTGTGTTGTTTGGTGCCATCTAGTGGACAAAATGAGTTTTGCAAAGAGCTATTGAGGGGGAAAAAGTGTTCAGATCTTCAGTATGTTCAGGAATTCATGATTGCCAAAATAATAATAAAAAAAGCTTGTCTCTAAACCTAGCTGTCTAGAAAACAATAGATGTGATTTTTTTTTTATTTCAAAGGTAAAATGGATTAATGTGAGTCTTTTCTGCTAGTTTGGTTCAAGTTGGCCCAGGAACTTTTCACACTTTACGACAAATTTTTGTTGTTGGGTTTTATGTAACAGAGCAATGCAAAGAACTGCATAAATTTGAATTAGACAGTAATAGTTTTTTTTTTTTTTTTTTTTTTTTTTTTTAACATATGTAAATGAAATATATGCAGATTGTTTACTGCAATCGTCCAAAATTAAACAACTAAGTACAAATCTAGTTGCTTCTTGAAGAGAATTGTTTGGGAATATAAGTGAACAAAGTAGATAATGAAGACTTTTATGATTGTGTACAGACCTTTGGTCCTGTCCGGTGTTTAAAGTGCTTCATAAATAAAGTTGGTATGGTATGGTACAGCAGGAGGCAGGTCAGGTTTAAGGTTAAAGAGAGCCCAGTTTAATCTGCCATTTGAAACAGCAAAGATGCACAGCTGCAAACCTATTCAGGTCATTTACCTAAACTGACAGGTTGGCTAAAAGGACAGCACCAGTCAGAAGAATCCATACATGTAAAACCTGACATTTAGAGGAAAAACTGCACATGATGCTAATAGAAAATCCCTGTGGTTGAACATGGTGGTGGTAGAATGAGATATGGAACCTGGTCTGAAATGATTGGGAGATGGATGGAGTGAAATTCAGGGCAATCTTGGGAAAAAAAAAAGAAAAGAAAATTGCTGTAGAAAAGCTCAGGGAGGTTCAAGCACAAGCAGGATGAAAACCTCAAACAGACAGAGGTACAGTAGAATCAAAGCAAATTAAGGAGTTGGAATGCGTAGTAGCCAGACCTTACTGCAGTTTGTAAATAATCTCTGATCTTTTGGAGCTTAGTCAAATAATCGGCAATTATTCTTTTCTCTTTAAATGATGCGTCCTTTTCTAATTATGTGCTGATTTGTGTTGCTCTTTCACATAAAAACCTAAATAAAATAACCTAACCTGTCAAACGTGGGTTTTAACTGTCAACATATACGATAAGAAACTCTGTTCAGATCTATGAAAGAAAAGAAAGAAGTTTTCCTTTTTCGTTTCTGTTTAGCCAAAAGAAAAATTAAATTATTTTGAAAACCAGACTTATATTTTTTTCTTTTTTTGGAACGTACCAGGGTGTTTAAAAGCAATTATTGTATTTTCATAGTGTGTTCTCTAAGACAAAATAAGGATTTGACCAAAGCTCATGGTCTTGGTGTTTGTTTTATAAAAGGTTTAATGGAGGCTCATTTCAGTATTACTGTGGTGCAATTCCTTAATAGTATTTATGTGTGATCATTGTGTAAATAATAAAAAAAACAATGCATATAATAGAGCTCACCCATAGCTAGATATGTATTAATAATCCATGACATTGTACCAACAAAGCCAAAAACAAAACAAAAGCTGAGAGACATTGAACAAAATCATCCAAATAAAGAAAAATATCAGAAAAGCTTGTCCTATATATCTATATAGATATATATAAAAGTAAAGACTGTCTACTGTTCCTCCAATCTCCAAATTTTCCTCCCAGGTAATGCAAACCTGGATGCACAACAATTCAGGAAAGAAGAGTAGAAAATCCTGCAGATGAGTTTGCAGAGGTCTGACTTCCAGAGACCACCTCCAGCTTCAGTGCCCTGCTCTCTGAACTAACATCTGGACTACCCACACAAGGCTTCATGCACACCCTGGAGTTTGGCTTTAATGCACCGTCCCTCTTTTCATCATTTGGACCAAAGGTTGAATTTTCTGAATAAAAACCTGAATCTGTTTTCTTTGCTCCCCCAGCAGCAGAAGTCTAATTGATGTTTGTGAACGCTTGGTTTGCAAATGCCTTCAATACTTGATCATAGTCATTAAACTTGAGAACAAAAAGAATAAAGGTTTGTCTGGACTCAATATGTTGTGCAGCTCATAGAAAATGGACGAGTCAGAGTTTCAAATGATAACTGTTTATTTCGTCATCAGGTCATGGTTTTTCTGAAACCATACTTGGTAAAGAAGAAAAAGAAGGCAAAATGACATTTTGCAGAGTAAGATTTAAAGCTGAAATACATCTTGGACATTATTTAAAGGAGTTTGCAAAACTTTAGACTAAAACATACCGTCGTATAAAAGCGCACAGTTAAAAAAAAAAAAAAAAAAAAAAGGTACAATTTAAACATTCCCCTTTGCACATGTAAAGCAGCCTCAACATTTGTGTAATGTAGAAAAAAACCCTCTTTAATTCGAGTATATTTATTCAGTATGAAATGAATTTAAAGGTAATTATATATCAATTTAATGAAAGGTAGAGTGCATTAGACCAAATGTGGCACAGGCCACAAAAAGGGAATAGAAAACATGCAGGTAAAACTGAACTGGAAGGCAGGATATGGCCACATGAAAATAGCTTCTTGGGCAAAACATGATCCTATACAGAGTAAGGGCTAATAAAAAGGGCTGCATGAAATTATCCTGCCAATAATAACAGGTAAAGAAAAAAATTTAAACAATTGTGGCAAGAAGACTTTTTAAAACCACCATTATAAATGCTACTGGGATCTCAACTGGAGCGGCATGGTGATCAGATAAGATAAGGTTAGCTTTAGCAACATCTACGCATCCTGCTGCGTTTGGTTTCAACAAAGGATTAATATATGTGGACCCACCCTACTAGTGTTAAGCACAGTGAAGGATCTGTGATGCTATGGACCCTTTTCCTTTCCAAAGGCCCCGGGATCCTCTTCGGATGGCAGAGAATCATGACCTTTAAATTTCAAGGCAATTTTAAGTGTAAATTTAGTGACCTCTGACAGAAAAGTGGGTCATTATAAGAGTTAAATTAAAACACACCAAAGTGAGCCGCTGGATCTTTATCATTTAAGGTTGAGATTCTGCTAATGCAACTAAATATTGATTTATTACCATTTATTTTCAAGTTTACCTACTGAACACCTTTTACAAAGATTTACCAGTAAAGGTGTAGGGGGTTGTAGCCTTAGATGGTCAGAGATCTGAATCCTGCTCCACATTAGTAATTAGTGACATCTGGACCTCTTGGCGATCATGTAATCGATCATTGTTTTGTGATTAATCCGACGGGCAAGAAAAGGCATGAGGATCGTCAGAGTGCAAACCACAAAAAAAAAAAGTAAAGTATCTGGGAAATTGGCACTATGCGAGGATAATCTAAAATGAGTCGTTTCATGATTGTCTAAACTGAATTTACTGCCCTGCAGAAGGAGGGAAACGCCTACAGCAGACATCACATATCCACATTTTGTTGTTTTTCTGTCCAGTTTTGTTTTGATTCATAAACTCTGAGGGCATAATGGAAACAAATGTATATATTAATGAGGTGAGCCGTGATTTGGGCAAACAAAGATGTCAGAGAAGCCTGTGATTGGGCAAAAGACCGCAGAGTTACTCTGTAATCATCCATTCAGCTGCTGAGATGGTTTCACCACCCACTGGATTTACAGAAACAAAACAAACAGAAAAATTAAATATCCATAAACAAACTTCAGCCTTTCTGTTTGGAAATAACCAGCTTCAGTTTGGCTGCATTAAGGCTTTTATATATATTTATCATACACGCATTTATTAGTAACACTGTTGACTAATAAATGTTGACACCAGTAAAAAAATAACTTTAAGTCTCGTCGTATAAATCTGACTTGACTGATGCAGACCGGCTTGGCTGTTCCTCCTGCACAGCTCATCTTCTAACTAGTGTCTGTAGTAGATCTCTGGCAGGTAGATTGGACCACCCGCCTGCCTCAGAGGGTCTTATTGGAGGTCTCGGTCACAGAGCCGCTGCCTTCATAGTCCAAGCTGAGGGGCAGAGGGGACTGGGGCAGGGCTTTGAGGACCACCCCGACTCTGTAGGCTGTGCTAGTCTGTGTGGGGGAGGTGGTTGCTGGGCTTTGTGTGGAGCTGCTCTGCACCTCTGGCCTCAGAGTCTGTGAGGACAGAGGGAGATAGCCTTGAGCCTGGAAAATGTCCTCGTCTTCAGGGTCCAGGCTGTGGCCTGGAACCTGCCGGCTGGAGTCTAACTGGGCACGGAGGCTGTTGTGCGTACGCATGAGAGTATCGTGTCGCGTCTCCAACTCGGTTGGTCCGTTCCCGCTAAACATTTCTTCCTCCAGCTCCTCCAGCTGCTGCGTCCAGGTGTGACTCGGGTTGTCCTTGGCTCTGCGGGGAACCGACGACGACAAATCAGCCTCTCTGAGTCTGCTTACCAGGCTCTCAGGAAGGTCGTTCACAACAGATTCCAGTTTCCATTCTGGTTTTGAAGGTGCTGGCGGCTTTATGCTGGGATCGGGGGTGGCGAGTCGAGTCTCTGTAGCCAGAAATGACCAGATGTCGCCGGTGGAGGCCAGCTCTTCTCCGCTGGCCTCTTCAAGGCTTCCACCCCCGGCCCCAGAGCCCAGCTCCGGCAGGGTGGAGTCGTCAAGCTTTCGGGTTTGGTTGAATTGTTTCAAAACGTGTCGCAGTGCAAACATTTTATCAACATCCTTCTGGAAGTTGGCCCAGTTATCTGGGCTGGGTCTGTAGTCTGGCCTACATTCATACAGGCTTTCATTTATGCTATACAAATCCTCCAGTTCCTGCCAGTTCACCTCCTCATCTGTCAAGTTGGGCAGCTTAACCCTGTCGTCCTTCCCATACTGG